TATATTTGTGGATTTTGCAATGATAATTAACCATACACACAACTTCTGGGTTCCAGATTTGCAAGGTATATTTAAAACGATTTTTGAATCATCCGATTTGCTAGTTCATCTAACTTCTTGATTGTATTCCGGCTTGTTGAATAATAAATATAATTCGCTTTCCATTGCCAGCAGCTACTGGTCAGATAATATAACTCAATATATGTAACACAAATTTTCAAACGTAAAATCACGTGCTCCTATCCACAATTAAAGTCATTTTTCAGTATCAGAAATACATATGAAGGTAGAAAAACGATAGACCTCACTAATACACGATTAAGACATACTGAAAAATTTTAAGAAGACACAAACGATAGTGTTAGTAAAGAATAGAAATCTTTGAAGCGGCTGTTATTAAAAGAGTAACGAATCAATTGGCTTCGTATTTTTTGTGAAGCCAAACAATTGATTTGTTCTCGGGCGAAAACGATATAGCACAATCATACGATAAATAACGTTACTACATTCATTCAACGCGCCTTACAACACCAGTGATAGAAATACTGACGACAACAACAACAACATTCATGTCACTGCTGTTGGCAACTTATCTACGATGTACATTTGTAGCAATAAAAAAAAACGTTTTTACCTAAATAAATAGGAAAAAGAATATAGCGGATGGTAACAATGACCACAGAATGTGCACTGAGTTGTTCTTGTAGGGTTAGAAGTATAACTGTTTACTAAAGACAGAAGAAGATAATGATTGCGTCTAGTTGTAGTGTATTTAGAACGTGTGAACCGTGTCGCCGTGATGCTGCAGTGGTAACGTGTATGCCTACTAAACTTAGCGGCCCGTGACGATTTGGAGACCAAACCGGGCGTGGACACGCTCGATGTTGTGATGGGAGCCAGCCGTCTGAAGCTACCTTAGCGGTAATATCGGACGTAAAACTCGAAACATTTATAGCTTCGAACGGTACTAATGTGAATTTCTTATAGTATCCGTATAATGTTATTACAGTAAAAAGTAAACGCACTTTAGAAAGGAGCCTTTCTTAACTCAATAGGAATTAGCACCGATGATTTGACATTGATGTTCATTAAGCCTCAAATAATTGAGATTTACTTTTTAAAACTATGTTTAGTCATGTCTTAATATATTTAGGCAATTTTCTGATTCAGACCGACGTTAAGAACAGCTTGATAATAAAATAAATATGATTCAACTAGTCGAAAAACAAACTACCTATTCTATATAAGACGTCATATTTAAATATTTAATATATATCAAATATTCGTACGAAATTGCATACCAATCTACTGCTCAAAAGAAGCATTTGTGTTTAATTTCAAGGAAAATGCATTTCTCTTAACCTAACTACGCGAAAAAGACTTATTGCTACTTTAGTCAGTAAGTATATTAAAAGCCGGTGAATTGATCAAAAACACAATATGTACGTTTCTTATTTAAAAAAAATATATATTTTTTTATTCTAATTTATTTACTTGTTACGTACATAATTACGGCGAGGCTTGCTAAAGACTATTTCTTGTTTTGACGAGGTTCAATCTGGCTACTACAACAGTGGTAAAAGCGTAAGAACGAAATGCATTTGTCCCGTTTCTTCAGGTAGTTTGCACCTAATATTACATTAACGTTACATATACAACAGACTGACTTCATTTTTATTATCTTTGTAAATAAAGGATCCTTTTGTTCTTTCACCACCGCTCATCGCCAGCGAATAGCGGCTTATATTATTACCGCTTAAACTACCTCGTATGGCAGTATTACACCTGCATCTGCATAAGTGTGACATTAAACAAGTAACTTTTACGCATGTTCTTCGCTCATGTTAAGTCCATTGATGCCTTTTTTCCTATATCAACGTAGCAATGAATATCTCTCTCTCTCTCTCTGTCTCTTTCTCTCCACAGCATCAAGTCGAGCTGTTCACTCTGCCATTCATTCAAGTGGTGCAGCTGGCGTGCCGGCATTGCTGTATCCACCACCGGCGCCGTCCTTCGGGACTTTCCAGTTATATTTCTTCCCGACTTCGTACAGTTCGGTGAGCGCGGCATTGATTTCGTCACGCTGTTCAAGTTCGAGGTATTTGCGGTAGAGGCGAAGTGCAGTCTTCGCGTCCTCAATCGAATCGTGCGTCTCTGACTGAATCGTCTCACCGAAAAAATGCCATGCCAGAAAGCGCAGCGACAGCATCCGCTTATTGCGCAGCTGAAACAGCAACACAGTATCACGCACTTGCTCCTGTGGCACGACGAGATTGATTACCCGGAAGTCATTTTTCAGTCCGTGACCCACAAAGATTACGCCTTTGTCCACAAGCAGCCTCAACTTTTGGTAGGTCGCCTTGAGTGTGCTCAGATGCTTTGACGAGACAGTTACATCGAGATCGCCTGGCTGAATGCCGGAGAACTGTGTCAGATAATCCACGACCTGCTCCTGAGTGGCGATGTAGTCATCAATGAATGCTACGCCTTCCATTTGGCCCTGGCCACGTAGGCAAGAAATTCGCGCCACTGATCTTTGGCTCGGCCGGATTGTAGCGCGTGTTCCGTCTGATCGAATTTCGGCCTCTTCTTGGTTCAATGTGACAAACTCAGCATCCATCGCCACAATATCTCCTGCACTAAACTGCTCGCTATCTAACAAAGGAGTGAACGTCTTAAGGCGAGCTGAGGCATTTCTCGGAATGGATGTGTCCTTACGAATAAGATCTTCTGTGAGCGGTGAAATTACCTGATTTAATAAATAAAAACAAATTGTCTTATTTTATTGTACTGTGATTACATGAAATAGAACGTAAGGAAGCATGCTGTTTTGTTCTGGGAGAATGATTAAGTGATACGGAGATTATGGGCATTTTTCGATGTACTGTAGTGGGGCACTTACTACACCTAATAAAAAAAAATACACGAGATAGTAGAACGATTGTTGTTGTAGAAGAGGAATGTGTGGATTTAAATGTTTACAACTCTATTAGCTGCTGTGGCAGAGTCCTTAAAAGGAATCATTCCTACACTCTGCTTTCTCTTACCTTGAGATCCTTATATTTGTGGGCGATGTCTTTGCGAATATAATATAGCATGCAGGGCTGTTTCCAGTCGACGGGCAGATGCCCAACCTCGCTTTCCTTGATCGAGTGAACTGTGAAGTCATTGAACACGTACCAGTGTGACATGCCAGATGAATGGTGTCGTTCATGATAACCGGCACCAACGTTGATCAGTGAAACTATGTTTTCGCGAGCTAAAAGGTAAATAAAAGACATACAAAGCATACAGGAATAAATGCAATTTAACAAAAACGACAACAACAATATTATTATTACAATCATTCGCAATACGAATTTTAAACTTCGCACTTACAGTCGTGATGTATGACGCACACAATAGCAGCGAGCTCATAGTTAATTCCATCTCCGTTGTTTATCTCGGTTTCTCTCACCGTAGGACTCGTACCATCACCTCTAACAATGATGTTAAGTGTAAACGGTAGCCACGATTGGCCTGAACCGATGCCTTCTCTCTCACCTCGCGCAGCTGTATAGGGATCTGACGTATCAGAATGCAAAAACCGACAGCTGCGTCGATTGCATTTATCGCCAAATCTGTCGTCCGCAAAGACACAGGGCACGTTCTGCCATCATCAGTTTCAACTTATGTTTCAAGAACACCTAATAAGCACTGCTGTAGGCTAGAAATTGTGATTAATAGCTTTAAACTCAATATCAACGATCGACAGCAGTGGTCTAACCTTAAATCTTTCACAGCTTTCGATTATCTTCCCTTCATAAGCGAATAACAGTTGTAACATGTTGAGAACATTGATTCGGTTTAAACTAAGAAGTGGACCCATACGCATCCTACATACCTGCATCTTTTATTAATGAACTGAATATTGGGGTTGTCTCCTTGTCCAGCTCTTGCGGATGCTGTTGCCGACAGACCTTGTCCGTCCGAGCGTATGCCTCCTCCTTTTCTCAACCAGATGTCCAGCGCGGCGTTCGACTCAAGCCCACAATTAATAACTAAAATATCAGGGAGCGCCAACATCCTGAAAGAAGCAATAGTCGATTGAAGAATCAAACCAAGCACAAATCAGCCACTCACCAACTGATCTGCTAGCAGCTTTCTGATCCTCATTTGAACATCCTATAGACACAAGCTACCTTTTAGGAGTTAACACAGCAATAAGAGTGTTGAATGAACCTGATCGGAAAAACAAAAATCTAACCTGCGTGATTCCACCGCCGTGCTGAAACGCTGACAAGACTCGCAATACGTGTTGAGCTGCACCTCGTTAGCACATATCGAATGGCGAAGAATATCCGCGAACGAAATGTGACTTTCTTTTAGGTCACTATATATCAAATTAACCATATTTGTGGTCCCATCACGCTCGGTGCTAGCTCCACACCAACACCTGCGATTTTTGGTAAGTAAAAAAATTTAAGTTTCAGAAATATATGTACAGCCCGACATATCTATCAGACCGAAGTTAACTAACTTGAAATAGATATGGCATATATATATAAATGAGTCTACATACATACATACATACATACATACATACATACATACATACATACATACATACATACATACATACATACATACATACATACATACATACATACATACATACATACATACATACATACATACATACATACATACATACATACATACATACATACATACATACATACATACATACATACATACATACATACATACATACATACATACATACATACATACATACATACATACATACATACATACATACATACATACATACATACATACATACATACATACATACATACATACATACATACATACATACATACATACATACATACATACATACATACATACATACATACATACATACATACATACATACATACATACATACATACATACATACATACATACATACATACATACATACATACATACATACATACATACATACATACATACATACATACATACATACATACATACATACATACATACATACATACATACATACATACATACATACATACATACATACATACATACATACATACATACATACATACATACATACATACATACATACATACATACATACATACATACATACATACATACATACATACATACATACATACATACATACATACATACATACATACATACATACATACATACATACATACATACATACATACATACATACATACATACATACATACATACATACATACATACATACATACATACATACATACATACATACATACATACATA